TTCTTTCTCTCTCTCTCTTTCTCTCTTTCTTCCTCTCTTTCCTTTCTCTCTCTCTCTCTCTTTTCTTTCTCTCTCTCTTTCTGTCTTTCCCTTCTCACTCCCTGTGTCTTCTTTTAACTGAGAACTCTGGCAGGTGGATTACCTGAGTTCAGGAGTTGGAGACCAGCCTGACTCTGTGTGTGTGTGTGTGTGTGTGTGTGTGTGTGTGGTGTGTCCATTTTCTGCTGGCTTTGGAGCAGAATGGATTTAAGGATAAATGCCTTGGTATTTGGTTCTTGGCATTATAATCAGTGTTATTTTTGTCAGGATTGGGGTTAGAGAGAGGATGAGGTTGAGGGTCATGGTCAGGCTTAGGGTTAAGATTAGAGGGGTGGGGCTGGGAGTCCCTCTCAGGGTGTTAGGGCTAGGGAGGATGTTAGGGTTAAGGTCAGGGGGTTAGGGTAAGGTGACCAGACGTCCCGCTTTTGGTGAGACAGTCCAGATTTTTAACAATTTCTCCCACGTCCCGCGGGGTTTTAAGAAAGTCCTGATTTTTGGAAAGAATGCATGACAAGCTAGGGAAAGGCGGGTCAATGGGAAGGGAATATATATTTTTTTGCTGCTGAAAAGCTTAATGTAACTCCATTTGGGAATGAAGAGGTTAATGTAACTTCATTTGGAAATGTAAACTCTCCACTCCCCTCCTGGGCAAGGTCGCCCAGATTGACGGCACCCTATTCCTTTGAGCCACAGGCGCTACCCTATACATAATTTTTTTTAATGTATTATATTTGTAAATTGTACTTATGTTGAAATTAAAAATATATATATTACAATACTATTTTTGCATTCTATGAAAATTTTTGTTGCTCCATATAGACCAAATTTTTAATTAAGAACACCCCACCCCACCCCCGCCCCCCCATCAATGGTGTCCCACTTTACCAATGTTAAAATCTGGTCACCTTAGGTTAGGGTCAGGGGTTAGTTCTGTTCTTGTTATTATTATAAGGTGAAAATGGGGGTGCTAGCTGCAGGAATGAAGACAGGCTTTTCTTTGATTTCATTACAATGATTTTTCCTGTGCTATCACTTCATCCTCAGACCGTCTGTTGATTACACAGGGTAGCTATAAAATCCATGTGCAATTTACTGTTAAATGATTTTAAATTGCACAGAATACTTAGGACCACCCTGCATAAAACCTTTATGAACCCAAAATTGTCTTAGAGTGCTTGGTTGGAGGTCAAAAAATGCATAGATCAGTTCAAGTAATTGCCTCTTTATGGGTGATTCAAATTCACAGATAACAATGGTTTGGGATAGTTTTTGCTGTAAGACATGGTATCACAGAGAGAGACTTGGTGCCCGTAGCACAGTGGTTAAGGTGCCAGCCACATGCACCGAGGCTGGAGGGTTCAAGTCTAGGCCAGGCCAGCTAAACAACAATGACAACTACAACAACAACAACAACAACAACAAAACAGCCAGGCATTGTGCTGGGCACCTGTAGTCTCAGCTACTTGGGAATCTGAGGCAATAGAATAGCTTAAACTCCAGAATTTGAGGTTGCTGAAGCCGTGACGCCATGGCACTCTACTGCAGGTGACATAATGAGACTCTGTTTCAAAAAAAGAAAAAATGAACTCATTCAGCCAGCAAAATAAACTCATTAAGATTTCAGAATTTTGTGCGTTGACAGCATTGGAAAATCAGTTTTCAAATGTTGGTAGTTGAGATGTGGTGCTCAAATTCAGTGGGAATTTCATGATGATAGACTAATTTAAAAAAAATACCAAGATAACATTTAGGTAACACTTTTTTTTTTTTTGTCTTTTTAAACCTGTGTATGTCTTTTGCCAGAGAAAAAAGGAAGCTACTTGGAGCTGCATGATGAACCCCAGGTAAGGAAATTCATACCCTCTGTTGTGAGAATATTGCATGGAATATATAATTTAGTGCCAGTTATGAATTCAGCCTTAGAGATAGAGGTGTTTCATGTCCATTGTTTTTATACGGCTGGTCTTACAACATCTAAGTTGGCATTCTGGACTTCGTACATGTATGTTTCTTTTTTTCCCCCGAGACAGAGTCTCACTCTGTCACCCTGGGTAGAGCGCTGTGGCATCATAACTCACAGCAACCTCAAACTCCTAGGCTCAAGCCATCCTTTTGCCTCAGCTTCCTGAGTAGCTGGGACTACAGGTGCACACCGCCATGCCCGGCTAGCTTTTCTATTTTTAGTAGAGATTCGATCTCGCTCCTGCTCAGGCTGGTCTCCAACTCCTGAGCTCAGGCAATCTACCTCCCAGAGTGCTGGCATGACAAGTATAAGCTGCCCAACCAGCCAGTACAGGTATAGTTAAAAGAAAATGTAGGGGACATTTATGCAACTGATACAAATAAAAAATGCAAATTTCCAATATATACAGAGGGTGCAAAAAATGTATACACATTTTAAGAAAGAAAAAGACTGTCTTAAGTTGTAATACTCAAAGTATTCCAATAACTTTTTTTTTTTTTTGCAGTTTTTGGCTGGGGCTGGGCTTGAACCCACCACCTCTGGTATATGGTGCTGGTGCCCTACTCCTTTGAGCCACAGGTGCTGCCCTCCAATAACATTCATTATCTTTTATATTGTAACTAGTATCTCTTGTGATTGCAGAAGTCAAACACGACTTGAGTATTACAATCTTAATACAGTTTTTTTTTTTTTTTTTGCTTTCTTAAAACGGGTGTACATTTTAGGGACACCCTCTGTGTGTACATTATTTTACAGTGTTATAAAATCAGGGATGCTGAAAGAATTCTCCCAACTTTGGGTAGATTAAAAGCATGTCTGTAACTATTGTGATTCGGCAGGAGAGGAAAGTCCTGAGCGTTTGGCTCTTGCCTCTGAGATGTTTGCAGGAAATACGTTAAAGAACAAAAAACTTCAGTGTCATGTGGCCAGCGATATTTTGGCACATTTAGAAAACACTCTGGGAACAGGTGGGGGTGAACGGTTATTTCTACTCTACCTAGAGGAAATATTTGAGGTGGGTTTTGAAATGTGAACAGGGATGAGGTAGAGATGGCCTCGGTAATTGAAATGTCCAACATTCATTATTCGATAATGAAACAGAAGGGAGAGGAAGCTTATATATTTCTCTGAGGCAATGGGACCGTTTTGGGGACTGAGTAAAATTATGACGTCTTTGGTCTTCGGATTCCAGGCTGCCGCTCTTCCCAAATTCAATAATTTCCCCCAATCAGTTATCGGTGCTGTGATGAATAGTCCCTTCAGCTTCTGGGAGTTTGCGCAGTCATGCCACTGAGAAATATTAGGAACCCTCCCCATCTGATGATTTCTGAAGAAAGAGGATGAGAGCACCCATTTGGAGAGGGCATGGTTATCTTTTTAGCAAAAGGATGTGTTGATTAAACACCAGCTATGATCTCAACCATGAGGAAATGAATTCTGAGACTTTGAGGGACACAGCTGCATAAGCAAAGCTTTAGTTACAATCTAATCTTTCATCTCTGAGAAGAGGAAACACCCTAGTTCCTGCAAAGAGGCAACATTAGCAAAGAAATACAGGGTAGTTTGATACAGTAACACATTCTGCCAGTGCACTGACAGAGCTTTATCTAGGCCAAGTGCAAAATCCCCACAGAAGTTTGTGTGTAATCACAGCCCTGTGAAGTCTTTACTCTTCAGATTCCAGGCCGCTGCTCTTCCCAAATTCATTTAAAATCTCACATTCTCCTTTGTCTCAACTTGCCATTTTCCCGTCAGTTTTTCTTCTCCCTAACCAAAGGTTCCTTTAGCAAAATTGCTATCCGCACCCATTTTCTTTGAGTAATTACAAATGGCGTTATTTTTATTTTAAAAAAAAATTATTTTAACTGAAGATGGATGGGTGAAAGTGGTATATATTTATGGTGCCCACCAAGTCTTGAAATAATGCAGCCATCAAGGGATGGTTCGGCTGAGCTAGTTCACAGGTGGGTTGCCTCACACCCTTAGTTCATTTTTTGAGGTTAGAATATTTAAAATGTGGTGTCTTGGCATTTTTTTTTTCCTTCCTCCCTTCCTCCCTCCCTTCCTTCTTCCCTCCTTCCTTCCTTCCCTCCCCTATTCCTTCCTCTTCCCTCCCTCCCCCTTCTCTTCTTCCCTCCCCCATTCCTTCCTTTTCCCTTCCTCCCTCCGTTCCTCCTTCCTTCCTTCCCTCCTTCATTCCTTTATCCTTCCCTCCCTCCCTCCCTGTTTCCTGTTTCCCTCCTTCCTTCCTTCCTTCCCTCCCTCCCTTCCTTCCTCCCTTCCTCCTTCCTTCCTTCCCTCCCTCCCTCCTT